TGCCGGGTACCGTGTGTATCTCTTGTTTATATATATATACATATATATATATTTATAAGGGTTATTCTACGATCATGGGACAAACTTGGAGGGGTTGTTGAAGAATACAGGACTTAAAGTATCGTGTTAAGGCATTATAACAAAAAAATAAAATAGGAGGAAAACTGTGTTTGTTTGCAAAATCAGAACAAAGTGCGAGTTTGTAGCAAAAATTTCAAAATTGTATGTAAAGCGCAATATATGATGCATATAATTGTATGTAATGCACAATATATATTGTAAATGCACAGTATATGTTCAAAATTGTGATTACCAACTGTAATATATGCTTGGTAGAAGGGATTGACTGATGCATCAGATTGCAATTTGATCGGCTCATTACTGCCCTCTATCATTGCAAGCTAATCACAGTTCACATTACTGCTTGTGGTGGCAGTTGTGAATACTGTATTATTGCAAAGAAGCATTTTGCTTTCATTTTGTAGATATACATATTTTTCTGCTTGTGCAGTATTGGTATGACAGCCCTTTGTGAGCCTGGGTCTTCCTCAGAAGCTTTTCCCATTCTGCCCTTCTCCCAGCAATTGATTTCCAGTTCTTTACTTTTAGGAAGGCAAAATCCTCATCCACACAGTCTTTCCATCACTTTTTGGGTCTTCCTCTTGACCTTTTATTGGAGGGGGTTGCATTAAAGACTCTTAATGCTGTTCGTTCTCGGCTCATTCTGACTACATGCCCGGCCTACCATATTTAAAGAATGGTGCTTGCTGTTTTCTCAAATGTGCATAGCACAAAGTACGAACCATGAATAACTTTCAATCTAATGATCAAATCTTCACGTTTTAGGACTCAATCTTAATGGTTCAAAAGGACAATCTCAGATATGCTAATTGTTTAATGGTAGATGATATTTTAAGTTACAAAATCAGACACAAAAACGTACTTTCCTAAATAAATATAAATTTTTCGGACGGATTCAGATTTCTGATCCCCAAAATATGTAGGGTAGCAGCAATCTGGGAAATATGGTCCAAATAGTTTGGTTAGGGGAGCGGTCTAAAGTTTGGCCCCCTTAATGTCAATTTGACCTTTTGTGTATTTCTCCTTATCTCAAAAACTTTCGAAAGGAATTTAAATTTTTTTGTTTGCAATCATAAAATTCGTTCCCCTAAAGATTATTTCTAGAAAAATAAAAAAATTAAGTAAATGTTTATTACTTTTTATTATTTTATTTAATAAGAGTCGAAAAACGCTTGAATTGTAAGGTATACAATTTTTACATCATCTTAAAGAATTTAATATTAGATGGCAAAATACAATATTTGAGCGAAATTGGTCGAATAGCTGCGGAAAAATTGAATTTTTTAAAAAGTCTTACTTTCAAAATTCAGTAATTTGATTTTCTGAAAGGAACCTTAATGAGCATGATTTTAGAGCACAGTTCAAGTTCACCTTTTTCTATATTTTGTATGAACGATTTTTAGTGTCACAGTTAAAAAGAACTTTTCCATTATTCTCAATAGATTAAATTTATTTAAAAATATTATGAAATCAATGCAACATAAAAGTAGGACTTTTGTTCTTTTATAAAAGTAGTAGTAATATTTTGTGTTAATTTTTTATGATCAAAACGAAATTAGAGTTTTTCACTTTCAATTAGTTACTGCTGGAATGTTATTTATTTTGCTGTGTCTTGTTACGTTTTCGTTTCTATTCATTAATTAATCAGAATTAAAACTTAACACTCTAGTAAAATTTATTATGACGAATCCAGTAATTTCAGCTTAAATGATTTTGAAACTGTGAGAATACTTGAGTTTCAAAAACAAATATTGATTTTTTGCATACGTGTAAGTTTACGTTGAATTTTAATACATTTGTACCTTGCATAATGAGTGATACCCGTCACCGGTATCCCACAAAATCCATCCGGTCCGGGTAATTAGAATAGATAATGATCGAGTCCGGATCGTAAAAGAATAATGAAAGTATACGCCGCGTTCCTGGTAATTGCCGGGTACCGTGTGTATCTCTTGTTTAAAGAGTGAAATTTTAATGCGTATTTTTTAATATTATAATTTAAAAAGAATTTTTACAAAACACAAGACATTATGAATTCAAAAAAAAATTTTGAATAATTTTTTTAAAATTGACTGCCTTAAAGTTTCCTCCTTAATACTATTTCACGAAATTTATTATTAAATAAAAGAAAAAAAATTATTATAATGTAAATTTTGACTCCTCCTGGAAATTGATAGACTAATAATCTATATGTATGTTTCCTTAAAAAAAAGTTTAAAAGTTATGCAATTGGATTAGAGTGCTCTTGTCATCAGGCTAACGGTAGGAGGTTTTCGTGGTTTTCATCTCCATAGAACTCAAATGCGGGTTAGTTCCATCAAAAAGTCCTTCACGAAGGTAAATTTCTCCCAATATTTGATCCAGGAGTGTCTTTGTCTTCTGGATTGGGTTTAAAATTATATGACTACGGTGTTGAACATTGGTAGTTGTAAACCCAGGATTTTGTCGGCTGTTCAACGACGGTTATAAAATAATCTAAAAATTCTGCCACCCTAACTATTAATTAACACAAGAAAACAATTTTAGCTCAACCTGAAATTAACAGAGAGGTAAAAAATATAAGTATTTCATCAAAAATTATATGGAAAAAGAGAGTGATCATAGAAATTCTGATTCTCCCTAATTTGTACTTATATAAAAACTGTTTTTTAAATATAAAAGCATTGTAGAAGTAGTAACTATTAGTAATTTTGTCACCGATTTTGAAAGAAATTAACATCATCAATTATTTTCCTAATCACTCTGTTATATTTTCAGCAAGTGGATAATCGAAAATCAGTGCATCGTGCCATTGAACGCACAAGAAAGAACAATCGTCATTATTGGAGAAGAGAAACAAAGCGAAGATATGAGGATTTTTTCAGCAATTGTCAATGTCAACATGGTTACAGTTCTCAAATAAGTTACTGTTTTCCAGATGATTTGCCAGTGAGAAATGACACTGAAAATGATGAAGATTGGTTCCCAGAGGAATGAAAACGCAGAGTTTGAACTATTCTTGATTAATCGTTAATTTCATGAAATTTACTTTTAAGTACTAAAGTATTTTCTTGAACAATGACTAATTGCTAATTTAATAAAATTTACTTTTAAGGACTAAATTATTTTCCTGAACAATGACTAATTGTTGAGTTAATAAAATTTGTTTTTAAAGACTTAATTATTTTATAAATTTACTTTTAAGGACTAAATTATTTTCTTGAACAATGACTAATTGTTAATTTAATAAAATTTACTTTTAATGACTAGATTATTTCCTTGAACAATGACTATTTGCTGAATTTTTATACATTCTCATAGTTTTCAAAATTTATAATGGAAGATTTTTCCTAATGGAATTGAAATAACAATTAAACGTTACGTTTAATAAAGTTTACTTTTAAGGACTAGATTATTTTCTTGAACAATGACTGTTGAATTTTTATACATTCTCATGGCTGTCAAAATTTATAATAGAAGATTTTTCCCAATGGAATTGAAATAACAATTAAACGTTACGTTTAATAAAATGTACTTTTAAGGACCAAATTATTTTCTTGAACAATGACTATTTGTTGAATTTTTATACATTCTCATAGCTGTCAAAATTTATAACAGAAGATTTTCCCCAATGGAATTGGAATAACAATTAAACGTTTATCACAGAAAATACCTTATTTTACCAGCACTTAATAACATCACCACAAGTTATTGTGCATATCGACGAAGATATTTTTATTCAAGACCCAGTTGGAAATGGATATTTAAGAAAATGGACTCATCTCGAAATGCGTATTTAAGAAAATGGACATTGCTCAAAATGCATGTTTCAAAAATTGAAACAGCGAAAAATGCTTACCTTAAATTTTCAACCCAAATCTTATTTAATACGAACTTTTCCTTACTAAACATAATTATTACGGAACAATGTCCCAGAATTCCGGGTAGAGGTACTTGGTATATTGTGTGTGCAATTTTTCAGACATATCTTCGTATTCAGAGTTCGAAAGATAAAGTGGTTTTAAAAAATCTAAAATCGTAAAACGTGAATTTAATACCACTATTATAAATATATAGAACTTGTGAAAACTTTGCATTTAATGTCTTTTCAAAAAAGACTTATTTTCAAATTTTTGTTCTTAGTAATGTAAGAAAATGAACGAAGTTACCGTTATTAACATATTTTGAATCAATTAGTTATTCTTTAAAAAAAAAGAGTAATTTTCCTAAGAAAACTTTGAAAACGATATTAAATACTATGTCTATTTCCTTAAGTAGCTATGTCTATTTTTCCTTAAATACGGGCTTCGAGCTATGTCCACTTTCTTGAACATGCATTTTGAGCTGTTTCAATTACCTTAAACACGCACTTTGAGCTGCGTCCATTTTCCTAAATATGCGTTTTGAACTGCGTCCATTTTCTTAAACGTACATTTTGAGCTATGTCTATATTCTTAAGCACGCATTTTTAGCTGTTTCTAGAATAGATATATCAGTAACCATAGTTAAGACTAAGCCATCTAGCCATACGCTTAAGTCTTAACTTGAAAATCTGATCATTAGTTCAAAAGTTATCCATGGTGTTTTCTTTTTTATTGCACCCATGAATACAGCCCATCTAAAAGAAAGCAGAAACCGTAACATAAATAAACTTTTCTATTTTTCTTAAATATTTTTTCCTAAATACGCTTTTCGAGCTGTGTCCACTTTCTTAAACACGCATTTTGAGCTGTGTCAGTTTCTTAAACATGCATTTTAAGCTGCGTCAATATCCTTAGACACGCATTTTAAGCTGCGTCAATTTCCTCAAATACACCGTTAGAGCTGCTTCCATTTTCCTAAACATACGTTTCGAGTTGTGTCCATTTTCTTAAACATGCATTTTGAGCTGTGTCAATTTCCTTTAGCATGAATTTTGACTAAATTGTAATTTTTACATTTGATGGAGCCAATATTTTTCAAGGGGATTTTAGTTTTTAAGGACTTTTAAATATCTTTTTTACACTAAAACAAAATTTAAAGATCTAATTAACTCATTTTAACGACTGAATGAAAACGGATACACGTTGCTAGATTTTAGTCCGTTATAACGGATCATTCAATTTCAAAACTTAGTGCATACTAGAGTTTTATTCAATTTCAATTTAGTTCAATTTTTTTCAGTAATCGAAAAAAACTTTTTTAAAAGAAAATATTTTCAATTACAAAAAAGCGGAACAAAACACATTTTATTGCCTCTATTTAACAACTGAATGAAAACGGATACACGTTGCAAGATTTTAATCCGTTATACGGATCATTCAGTTTCAAAACTTTGTGTATACTAGAGTTTTATTCAATTAAGTGTAATTTTTTTCAGTAATCGAAAATAACTTCTTTAAAAGAGAAGATTTTCAATTATAAAAATGCATAAGAAAGTACATTTTATTGCCTGTATTTAACACACCCAAAGTTTATATGTTAAATCAGTAAAAGTTGCTTTCATTCAAAGTAAAAATTTCTGAAAGGCAATTATGAAGTTTTATACTCTGAATGATCTGAATGCGTTGGGTATTTTTGAAATCTAAAACTATGAAGTGTTTCAAATGGACTAAATTTGAAATTGTTATTCATAGTTAATTATACTGGGTCTTCAAAATTGAAGTAGATGTGATTAAAAACTAATATTGAGAGATTTGTTGGATCAAAGCGGAAAAAAATAACAGTAGAATTTAGAACTATTTAGAACACGGAATATTATTCTATATTAAACATCAAATTCACGATAGCCACGAAAGTTTGACTTTTTCTTGGGGGGGGCGAGGTGGAGGGTTTACAAAAATTTTATCACTTCTTATGTTACATCACTGAATACTATTAGTTTCGTTCTTTTTAAGACAGTTTCAAAGTTTGCCATCATTTCCAAAACTAGTTTTCGTTCATCACTTTCAGTTTATCACTTTTCTGAAGTAATTTCAAATATAAAATTGCTTAAAATATGATTTTAAATACAATTGAATCAGACAAATTCTTGGCAATTTATAATCCTGAAAAAAAAACAGCATTTACATTAAATTTCACGAAACTCGGTTTTGGATTGTATCAGAACCAGCCTACTCCAACACGAGTTGCAAAATCAGCCAAATTCAAAAAAAAACAAAAAAAAAAACCTGTTTTCACCTGTCCCTGTCTCCTTATACTGTGTTTTAAACCACACAGTCTTAATGCTTTTTAATCCAAAAAAATTGGTTCTCATCTCATTTTGGCTAAGTGTTGCAGACTATGACTAAGTGTTGTTGCAAGGCAGTTTCAAAGTTTGCTATCATTTCCAAAATTAGTTTTCGTTTATCACTTTTCAGTTTATCACTTTTCTGAAGAAATTTCAATTATAAATTCGCTTAACATATGATTTCAAACGCAATTAAATCAAGCAAAGCATTTGCCAATTTATAATCCTAAACGAAAAAAAAAAAAAAAAAAAAACAGCGTTTACATTAAATTTCGCAAAATTCAGTTTTGGATAGTATCAGAACCAGCCTACTCCAACATGAGTTGCAAAATCAGCCAAATTAAGAAAAAAAAGCAAAAAAACCTGTTTTCACCTGTCGCTGTCTCCTTATACTGTGTTTTAAACCTGATGTCTTAACGCTTTTTAATCCAAAAAAAATTGGTTCCCATCTCATTTTGGCTAAGTTTTGCGGACTATGACTAAGTGTTATTGACTAAGTGTTGTTGCAAGACAGTTTCAAAGCTTGCTATCATTTCCAAAATTAGTTTTCGTTTATCACTTTTCAGTTTATCACTTTTCTGAAGTAATTTCAATTATATATTCGCTTAGAATACAATTGAATCAGACAAAGCATTTGACAATTTATAATCCTGAAAGAAAAAAAAAAGTAGCGTTTACATTAAATTTCACGAAATTCAGTTTTGGATTGTATCAGAACCAGCCAACTCCAACATGTGTTGCAAAATCAGCCAAATTCAAAAGAAAAAAAAAGAGAGAGAGAAAAAAACTCTTTTCACCTGTCTCTGTCGCCATATACTGTGTTTTAAACCACACAGTCTTAATGCTTTTTTATCCAAAAAATTGGTTCCTATCTCATTTTGGCTAAGTGTCAGCTTTCCATGAAAGTTTTACGTTTTGGATTTTGAGATAGCCAGTTTTACTCTTGAACGAAACACATTACCTGACCAGTGTCCCCACATAACTAAAAGACAGACAGTTTCTACAAGGATATTCAAAACTCCATGCTTCATGCACCCAATTTAATCTTTCGAGAACAGAAATTCTTGGCAGAAATACGCTAACAATTATTTTTTGTTTCTTTTTAATAATTGGAGGTAAAGAGAAAAACAGGTGAGTTTTCAAATGTTCTTTTAGAAGCTTTACAACCAGTCTTTTACCTTTGTTAGGATTTGATATGTTTAATTTTATGTAGTCTTTCTCGTCAGAAAATTAACTCTAAATAATCGTAGACTAAGATTATAACAAATAGAGCTTTCGTAGAGTGCGTAAAATAAATAAAAAAGATATTACCCTTAATAACTTTCGTTTTTAATGATCCGATTTTCGCGTACTGAGTGTCAATCTTAATGGTTCAAAGAGATGACTTCAAATATGATAATTAATTAGTACTGCCTATTAATTAAGTTACGAAATTAGACTCAAAACTTACTTTCTCTGAATAAACATATAGTTTTTTTTTACATTTATGGATTCCTGACCCTCAAAATATAAGAGGGAAACAAAATTTCAAAAAAGTTGGGCCATAAATTTGAGTGTTTGGAAGCTTTATATATATTGGGGCAATGGATTTATGACTGGGTGAATTTTTTTTTCTTTTTTTGAAATTACTCAATTAGTTTTATGTTGTCTTTTCCTTCAGAAAATTAACTCTAAATAAACGCAGACTAAGACTATAACAAATGGAGCTCTTGTAGTGTGCATAAAATAAATAAAAAAGATATCACCCTTAATAACTTTCGTTCTTAATGATCCGATTTTCACGTACTGAGAGTCAATCTTAATGGTTCAAAGGGTTGACTTGAAATATGCTAATTAATTAGTACTACCTATTAATTAAGTTACGAAATTAGACTCAAAAACTTACTTTCTCTGAATAAACATATAGTTTTTTTTTACATTTATGGATTCCTGACCCTCAAAATATAGGAGGGAAGCAAAATTTCAAAAAAGTTGGGCCATAAATTTGAGTGTTAGGAAGCTTTATATATATTGGGGCAATAGATTTATAACTGGGTAAAAAATTTTTATTTTTTTTTTGANAAATTTCAAAAAAGTTGGGCCATAAATTTGAGTGTTAGGAAGCTTTATATATATTGGGGCAATGGATTTATGACTGGGTGAATTTTTTTTTCTTTTTTTGAAATTACTCAATTGGTTTTATGTTGTCTTTTCCTTCAGAAAATTAACTCTAAATAAGCGCAGACTAAGACTATAACAAATGGAGCTCTTG